AAAAAAGCAATGACCCAGTTTAAAAGAGAAGAAATAGCAAAAGGAACCTGAGAAAATTCGAGAAAAGAAGAACCAGGATCAAGAAGACGATCGATTCGTTCCCGCGGAAGAAGCTTATTTCTGCTCCTGTTCCTCTTCACAGCGGCTTCTCCTCCTCCAGCAAGAACCTTAAATCAAATCATATCAAATAATAGTAGCATATTTTAAGAGAAGAATCGGACAATACATTTGTTGGAAAAGTGGGAGGAACCTTGTTGATGTGGGATTGGAGTTCAGATAAGAGACGCTCCATGGCGTCGGAGTTTTGGGCAAAAGTGTCGGAGTTTCGGTTGACTCCATCAGGAAGGAGTCCTATAGAGAAGTGCTTCGTTTGGAGACGTTGGATTGGATTAGCTATTATACATGGGGCTGAATTGACTCTCCAAGAAGCTGAAGCTGCTTTCCTCACCAAAGTCCTTAGCATTTCTCTCCGTTTTCCTTTTTCAGCGGTCAAACAAATCAGAATTCGATCAAAGCCAGTTTAGACTCCCGAGTTAGAAGCGTTTATAGAGTATAGTGCCTTCTTAATAGTTTATCTTCTTCGCTGGCTTTGCGTGTAATTCATATCCATTTTCTCTGGATCCTAAAAACGCAGCGTTCTACTGACTCTCCCTGTCCTGGGTGCCAAACGACACCGTTGGGGCCAGTGTCAGACTGCGGTTGCTGCGGATAAGAAAAAAGCCTCAATTGCCTTGTTTTCAATTCTTGCAAGAAGCCGGAGAATTGGTTCCCTTTACACACTCTAGTGCGTGAGAAATGGAGAATTTGTCGTGTCTGGTGTTGAAACCAGCAGCTTCTACGACGTTACCTGGACCTAGGCTTTCTCAAATGGCAGCTACTGGTTCTGCAACGTTTGTTTCTAGCTTGTCATTTCCTTCTTCCATGGACTCTCAACTTCCAAAAACAACAGCAAAACGCTCTTCAAAACCCACCGAAAGGTCGTCTTCAGGAATTCCCACAACCCCATCAGCAACTACCAATGTTAGAAACACAACCACGACCGTCTCTACCAAAAAGGTCTCTCCTTCCCTAATCCCTGTACCATTTCTTTTCTTCAAATGCTTCAAAAAAATTATATAAAAAGCTATCTTTTCTCCAAATCTGGAAAACCCTTTTCACTGGAGCTTGAAAGAGTGGCAACGGCTTTGTTTGCTCAC